TTGATTAGTTGAAGTCATATTTGCTCACTCTATGTTGCAATTAATTTGTAGTTTCTAGTCTGTCTCTGCTCGTATCTTTACTATCGTTTGATCATGGGTATATAATTTCAAATAGCGGAACAAATTCACCCACTCATTTGAGGAACAGATAATGTTTATTTATAATATTTAGCCGGTTGGTGTCACGTGTCAGTTGAGATTTACTTTTCGATTGTTGTTGTATCGTAGATATAAATAAAAATATAATATACATTATGATTTCGAAATTTAAAAAGAGCAAGAAAAATTTAAATCAATTATTTTTTTTTTTTCTCTTTTCTTTATTGGCGTAAACACCGCTTACGTGGTTTACCTTTTCTCTTGAAAACTCGAAACGACGATCCATCAACGATGTCATTGTCCATGTCTCCGCACCATATAGCAGAACGGGAATAATGAAGGACTTGTAGAGTTTAGTCTTTGCTCGTCCGGAGAAGACTTTACTTTTCAACTGACTACTCAGCGAACGTTGGATTTCGATATTGACGTTGTTTTTGGTGTTGATGCTGGTTCCAAGATAGACTGAAACCTCGTTTAGTATCGAACGGCTCGGAGAGGTCTTTCTCGATCACGACAGAGCTTTTGGTGTTGCTCAATGTCAGTTTACTCAGCTGTAATAGTTTTGCTGGGATACCAAATCCAAACATAGCTGCATAGAGGCAGTTTTTTCCAAGATTTGGCGCATGGTGAATATCTGGCTATCTGTTGCGTTTTCAGGCCTAAATCCACACCGAAAAGATCAAATCAGTTTATTGACGATGGGCTTTAGTCTTTCACACAATACGCTCGATAAAACTTATTTGTTATGTTGAGAAGGCTTAACCCACAGTAGTTAGCGAGATTGTGGGGTCTTCCTTTCTTAGACATTTAAACATTTAGACATTTTTTTAGACATTTAAATTCCAATCGTCAGACATGCTTTCCTCCGACCATATTCTACAAATAAGCTGATGTAGTATATACTCCTTGTCAGTTCGTCGTCATATTTGAATAGTCCGGCCGGCAATAAATCGGCCCCAGCCGCTTAGTTATTCTTCTTATGGGTAATTGCTACTTGAACTTTGTCATGATCGGGCAATGGAACGTCTGCTCCAATGTCCTCACTTAGGAAATCGGGTTCGCCATCTGCTGGTGTTATGCTTTCACTACCATTCAGCAGGCGGAAGAAGTGTTCTCTGAATAATTTCAATATACCCTATGCATCAGTAACTAGATCATCTCCGGGGGTTATACAAGAGTATGCTCCGTACTTTAAACCTTTTGTTAGTCACCGCAACTTGTGAAGCTCTTCGTACTCACGTATTTCGGTCTCTCTTTTTTTGTCTGCAATTTAATTTTTAATCCCGAAATTGGAAATTCAAAATTGTTTAACAAAATATTCGCAACCCTGGTTGTATCTAACAATAAATAGACAACAAAAAGGTAGAATATTTGAGTAGAAGAAATATTGTTCCGAAACCAAAAAAACTAATAGTTCATAAAAAAACGAAGTGAAAAAAAGCATAACCAGCAAACCAAAAAAATTATTTATGTGCAAGCAACACGTACACACATACATAGTAAACATACTATCATACATATAAACATCTGCATGTACAACTGACCCAAATCCCAACTCTAGAACCCATCTAAGCCAGTTTGACGGCATTGCAGTGGTTGTACCGTAAGCAAATAAATAGCTAGCTTGCATGTTATATATATATATGTTTATATATATTTATTTATGCATTTGTATACATTATATGTAGTTGCCACCATTTTGACCAAGTAAGCTAACAAACTCAAGTTGCTTCAAAGACTATAACTGCTGGCCATGGTTAAGGCAGCAATGATCACACTCAAGTGGCAAGTGGAAAACCGAGATTTTCGAAAACAAATAAAATACGAAAACTATTGTAAGCTGAAAAAGAAATAAATAAATTTAAATAAAAGTACATAAAGAAATAATACCAGCAGCAAGCCATAACAAATAAGTCATCAAATGTGCAACCAAGCGCATACTTGTGGCAATTTGAGCAGCTTCAGCTACAATTTCAATTTGACTTCTCATCTGCCACGAAAAGGAAATACAACTATTTCTTCGTTTGGTTTTGCTTAACACTTTTGTATGTATTTTCAGCGCCCTTTGCTTTCTTCTTACCACCACTTAATAACTGATAATGCGGCGGATAAAAATGTTGCATGCATCAGAAGTGCAAGTTAAAATACTTTGAGCCGCCAACTTTTTCAATTTCTTTTGCTTCACCTCCTTGCACGCTTCTTCATTTCTTGAGCGTTGAACTTAAGCTGAAACTTTCGAAAGCATTGAGGTGTGAATGCGCTGAGCTGCCACCCGCTCACCGCCTCTTCCGGCTATTGGTGTTGGTATCATTCGGTTTCATTAACATTTTTTCACACCTACCTTTCGTGCTCTCTTCCACTCTCTTCTACATTCGTGCGCTATTTTTCACATTTCTACAGTCAGACAAATGCAAAAATCAAATTGTTGTTTACTTATTTAATTTGGAAAGAAATGTTGTTGCTGTACTGTATTTGTTTTATTTGTACCTACTCCAGTTTTAGCATTCAGCATTCATGATTAATGAATATACTTAGCGTTGTTAACTCTTCTGGTTTCTTTGTAAATTTCCTTTTTTGAAAAAGAAAAGTTTCAATGAGGGTAGTTTTACAAAACAGTAAGATTTCCAATAGTTAAATACTTTTTGGGCTCTTATAACAATGGTTTCTTATCGGTTTTCTTATCAAAAGATCATAATATGGTACCATTGAACTATGAAAGAGTTGTATAGGAAAACGTTCTTGCATTATTCTGATCTACAAAATATGAAACACATCTGAACGACAAAAGATAAGTGCTTTACAAAGCCAGAAAACATCATAGATCTCGTTTGCGTTCAAGAAGGAAGTGTTGAGATGATTCTGCTAAATATTTTTCTTAACAAAAGACAACGAGTAAGACCATTAACCATTCCGATTGCACGACGATCCAAGTTCGAAAACTCTTGCGGCTTACCTCATTAGAGATATTAGATGTCAAACATTTCGAGCAGAAAAATATCAGAATTCAAACGATTTTTAAAATCTCATTGTTTTATCAAACTACCTCTGTGCCATTCTGCGCTCACGCAAAATTCGCAGACGTGGGCGCGCATGTATAATCCATTAGCCAGCATTTGCTCATTTACACTTATTTGGCAGCGAAAATCTTAGTTAGCTAATTTCGTTTGTTATAAGCATATTTCCGGATTAGTGGTGTGTTAGAAGTTCGTTTGTTTGATAAATTTCATTCAGAAGTGGCTAGATTTACCCACAAAAGTTGATGAACTCTACCAAATGTGGGACTTTGTGAGAAGTTGTGCTGATTTGTGGCAGTAGTGATGATTTAAAGGCTAAATTAATAAATAATGCATAAATACATAAATTTAGTGAAGTAACAAGAGAGAGAAATATTTACTCGCCTGATCGTATAATTTTTTCTGAAAAATCTTGATCATTTCTTGCAGTTATTACTAATTAAAACTCAAGAAGCGTTTAATAGTCACAAATTGCTCAAGTTAAAGCATTAGAAATACGAAATAAATCACAAAGGTTTCTCAGAACGCAATGTACACGTCACCGTTAAGTTATTTAAAAAAAACATCACTATTCTATTCAATACAAAGTTTTTTTATCAATTTTTTCTTACTCTTTCTAAAAAATCGCTTTAAAACCAAAGCTAAATTAATTAAAGTTCACCCGAAAATTTTAAAATTCTAGCGACTGTGTTTGTTTTAAGCTTTTGCTTTTATAATTCCTTTCTTCCAAATTAATTTTTCAACTTTCCAAATGAACTTTCACTTTATCGAAAGTGTATTTAATGAAATAAATCATATTCAAAATGCTTTATAGAAAATTCTAATCACATTTTGCTATTGTTTCTCATTCTCTTTTCTATCCGAACCACCGCAAGTCAACCATGAAAAATGCCTTTAATGACCGCTTTGCATGTGGCTTTTGTTTTTCGAAACAATTACCCGTTGTTGACTGAGAAATTAGTGTATGTCTTTGATCATATTATATATCTAAATTTTCTTTAGAGTTTCACTCACTTCTTAAACACGTTGTCCAAGATTTGAATATTGAATGGAATTCTTTACTTTTTTTATAGGTTTTAATTGCTCTGACTTTCAAAAAACCGTTATCAATGTATTCAAATTTAATGGAAACTCTTTTGTCAGTAACATCTTTTGTTTACAGAAGTCGAAAAAGAGATATTTATTGCATCCACAGTTGGGAAAAAAATTTGCTAACTACAAGTATGTGAGTAAAGGTAAATTCGTTACATTTTTCAAAGATGAGACCTTGATAAACATTTTTGTTCAATAGCAGTAAATTTATTATCAAAAATCCAGCTTATTAAATTAAACAGCATATTTTTTGGGTTTAATTTATTGTTTTCGAAGTTTATTGTTAAAAACCTGAAATGTATACTAATTACTATATATTCACGTTTCACTTTTATTGGAGCCAGCATTAGATTGATAAAACTTTTAATATTTTATTGGGTGTGAAAACAGTTTTGCAGACACATCCACCGCTAAGACTTCAAAAAACATTTTTCAAAATGCTGACATCGATTTCACAAGTTTCTAGAAATTCCGTCGAATAGTTTTTATTTGGCTAGAAGTATTGTTGATGAAATGTTTTCTTAAAATATAAACGATATAGCTGTAAATAGATTTTCTCTTAAGATAGCCAGATGTAACTTAATGCTTAAAAGTTCGTGAAATAAAACTTATTTTTTGTTTATGAAAAGAACTTTTGTGCTTCATAACACCGACTGTTGCGCTTGTATTGATATGCAATTTTATTCACAATAAAATTAAATAAGAAATATAAGTGTGATATGTTATCAATTTTATTAATATACCTTTGACTAAATTTAAACAAATAACTTAATAATTTATTATTTTTAATTGCAGACTATGGCCAGAGAGTTTCTGCAATCCTAAACACCGCCTCCTCTTGCTTTGCGTGCATACAAACACAAACGAATAATCGGATTCGACCTTCACCGCAACATGTCCTCTTCGATATGTCCACATTTCACGCAGAACGCGTGGAAGAAGGATCTCTGTTCCAATTGCTTCAAGTCTAAAGACGAACACAAAGCCGGCAACTCCACCTACAAATACACCAGCGCCATGGATAGATCGAAATTCACCACGAATTTAATGTCCAAACTCGATTTGGATACTAAAAAGACTGATTACCCTAACAAGCATAAATCACCCGCAAAAAGCATTATGAAGAAGTCCTTTGCTTCGCTCAAAGCCAAAACCGGCAAAAGCAAAACGCATAAGGTTACCTTTCCGAAGAACATCTCCGAGGTGATTGGTGTTGGCGGTGAATGGTCCGACAACGATTCGGATGACGATGATGACCATGATTTCATGAATATTGGCAATGAACGCGACGATAATGCCGCCACCAGCACCGACGACGAGGAAACACTCGAGCTGAAGCGCATCACGCGTGCCAATACCGACTTCAACATGAACAATGGCAATTTGTTGGGCGATCCACAAGAGAATATTAAGCGTTCATTTGCAGCGCTCAAGCTCGGCGCACCACAGGTCGATAAGGAGGGTAAAAAGCAAACGCTTAAAATAAATGTTACACCATTTGGAGCCACAACGTCCACTGACAACACCAAAACAGCAACATCAGCGATAACCGCCACAACAGTAAAGGCTAAATTTGAGACGAAAGTGAGTGAACCGAGTGAGCCGACAATGGTGGTCAAACAGTGTGCAACCGTTGTTAAGTCAATAAAGAAGACTACAACGGCAGCACCACCAGCGACAACCATAGCGAATGCAACGAAAATAACAACAACAGCATCGACGAAAACAACAACATCTTACATGACAGCCAGCGCAAATGGTTTGTTGAGCTCGGCGCAAGCTAAACAAGAAGCTTTGGCGGCGAGCGATAGCGATGGCAAAAATAGTCCACCCATCGAACGCGCCATGGAAAAATCGCTATTGGACGAGATTTCCGAGACGTTGGAAAAGAAACAGAGCGAAAGCAAAAAACTGGCTAGCGAAAAGGAGGTGTCCACTACCTCAGTCACAAGCAGCGGTAGTGTAAGCGCGGCCAGCGCCACGAACGGCACGCTCTTAACTGCAACCGCTTCCACTGCCGTGCCGTCAAAGATTAAATTCGAGATTAGCAGCTTGAGCGACGCTGTGGAGAATAAGCCATTTCCTGAACTTAAGAAGCCGATCGCACGCAATCCACCTATTACAAAGGATCATACCAAACCCAAAATAAATGTCTTCCATAAATACTCGGACAGCGATAGCAACTGCTCGGACAACGAGAATGGCATCTCGGCATACTATGATGTTGTTGAAACACAAATAAGCTACGAGAATCTACCAGACGGCAAATGTGATGCGCAAGATAAGCCGAGTGCGGCCAATATCGGAACAGCCACAACCGCAGCTGCAGCGGAGAATAAGTGCAGCAAGAATGCAAGCAGTAAGAACGACACTGCCATCTTCTCCAGTTCGCAATACATCACGGACATGTTGCTGTCGTCGAAGACACGCGCTGCCTCATACAATCTGCACGAAGGCAACTTTATGACCAGCAAAATAACATCCGACGGACTGATTGTAACCAAGTGCAGCTCCGACGATGCGCTCGATTCGACGGGCAGCAGTTTCGACGGCAGCAGTGATGAGGAAACCTCATACAATATGATACGCAGTGAATCGGACTCTGGCATCGGCATCAGCATTGGTAACGAGTACAAAAATAATAACGCTGAAAAGGAACGCGTGCGTGTCGAGAAGAAGCTAAGTGTGAGTACTAACAACTCAGACTACGAGGATATCCAAGTGGCGAATCAAACCAACACAACAACCACAGGCAAAATCACAACAAAAGTGACAACCACAACAACAGCAACAGCTAAAGCGAAGACAGCTTTCATATTGGAAAAGAGCAGAGAGCTACATGGTGAACCAGACGGTAGTGCAGATCCAGATGGCAGTCTGGAAAACAAAGAGTCGAATGCAACACAACTGCCAGCATTGCCTAAATCGCCGCCACCCACGAAACTGATCGATGCGCGTCCCTCCTTCTTACATGGTCTGCAGAAGCAGCATCCACCGATTTTGCTGAAGAAACCGGATCTTCCCGCAAAGCCGGTGGTGTCGCCAACATGCACACCATTAAAAACATTTGTTAGCAAACGCACGCCAACGAATGCCGAACAACAAGTCATCAATCAATTACACTTGGTGATGTCAAAATCCAATGAAAACCTGAACTTGAGCTCAGTGACGCCAGAGACACTGAAAGATGATGCAAAACTAAAGAAGGGCAGAGCGCCAAATCCGCCGCCCGAACAGAAAACTAGCGCGCCACCAACGCCAGAACGCGACTACAATATTGCGCTAGAATTCGAGAAAGCACGCACCACAACAGCCGCCGATGTTGCCGTAGAGGAGAAGTTTACCAAAAAAGTCGCCAATGCAGAACAACAATCGGCGCCGCCAACAGCTCAACCACAAACTGAACCCGAGAAGAAAGCAAATAATGAGCAGAGTATTGACGCTAAAATGTCAGTTGATCGCTCAGAAGCAGACAAGTCGAATGTCACAACTTCTCAGTCGACAAGCGAACAAACAGCAACAGCCATAGCCGCCACAGCAGCCGCTGCCAATGCGGCCGTAGCTGCCGTGGCTAATCCAAACATCATTTATACGCGCAAAGTAGCGTCAACAACCGCAACAAACGCTGCGCACAGCAGTCTTACGAATAGCACGAAGAACACCGCTTCGCCGGTTATACGAGAGAAGGACAAACGTGAGCGCGCCACAGTCAATCCGAAATTCCGCAGCCTCAATACATTTGTGACGCAACGCAGCAATGCGCTGAAGAACATGCAACTGCAAACGGCCACATCATCGCTCAGCCTCAAGCAATCGCTTACACCAGAGCCACTGCCGAAGAATCACAAGAACCTGTCTCTGTCCGAGGAATGTCTGCCCGATGTGACACAGACCAACATGACGGTGAATCTGCCAACTTTACCGCCGACAAGTGACAAAAAATTGTTGGCGTCGCAACAGCAACCAACGCCGCCACAAAAGACCAAGACGAAATTTTCGATTAAGAAATTCCTGCGCATGGGTGCCAGCAAAACGACCGACAATCTGCACAAAAAAGATGGTATCTACTCGGAGATTTGTACGGGCGAGGAGGCGGGTGTTGTGGGTAAGCCACGCTTAGTGATCATTCATCCGATCGACATTAATCCGACCGCCGTAGAAGTTGTCAAAGACATAACTAAGACCAGCGACGCGGTCACAGCGCAAACAGTGGCCGTGGTGACGGCCAAACCACCAGCGCCGCCCTTGCGCAACATGGACACACAACGATCGCACGAGCTAAACAAACCGGCACGTCCGCCGCCGCCAAAAAGCGCCGAGTTGCGTCGGAAGCAAGCAAGCATCGGTCTAAATGCCGTGTCTATATCAGTGACGGACTCGCCGGTTGGACGCAAGCCAGGCGGGTTAAGTACTGTCTCTTATACACATCTAGATGTGTATAAGAGACAGGACACACAACGATCGCACGAGCTAAACAAACCGGCACGTCCGCCGCCGCCAAAAAGCGCCGAGTTGCGTCGGAAGCAAGCAAGCATCGGTCTAAATGCCGTGTCTATATCAGTGACGGACTCGCCGGTTGGACGCAAGCCAGGCGGGTTAAGTACGTGCGATGCAGGTGGTTCTATAAAATCAAAGTCGGACAATGTTTATGCCAATTTAGGTAAGTGCCTTGCACATTTCTATGAAAAATTAATAGATTCTATTTTTAGCAAGCGTATGAATTACTAATTATTAATTATTAATTAATTTTACTCAGTTGTCCCATTTTGTTTTATAATAGTAGCCTATTTTGGCTCCTCTTTACAATACCATAATTGCACGATTATGTAGCTTATAGTCGGAGATAATCATCTTCTTAAGATGACCCCTACTTTGATAATTGTACTTATGAGTATAGAAGCTTTTGCTTTCCGAAAATATATTATATTTATAGCACTGTTAAGGGTTACTTAAAACAATAAAATTAACTCTTTTTTCAACATTCTCTATTACTTTTTCAAGCATGTTGAGCGATATAGCAATGTATGTTTCATTGAATTCGTCAATAGTCCCATTTTTGATAAAAAGTCGTGATAGTCGCATTTAAAGATTTGAGCAGCCTATTAGTGTCACCGCGGACTTATTTATTTGATTTTTCTGCCCCTCAGCATGAAATCGTTTCGAAGTTATACGCTTTAAGTTAAGACATATGATTTTGTAATGTGGTGAAGTTACCTGACACATCAAACCAACTTTATGGGTAAACAATTTCAATGTTTATATTTCGACAGAAAAGTTGGCGCACATTCAACGTTCTCTTAAAATTTAATATAATATGTGTACATATGTACATAGTTGTGGATTTTGGAATTTTGTTTGCTGAAATCCCAAAACTTTTCAATTACAGCACTAGATTACTTAAATTCCTACAGTTTTATTTGCAATTCCAAACAAAATATGCTGGCTCAAACTATTTCGTGTACGATATCGAAACAGCGAATATTCGCATAAATCAAGCGGCACATAAATCACTCATACATAACAGATGTATATGCATACACAAATAGGAACCGCAAATATTTGCAGCAAAATAAAATACCGATGATAAATTTCCGCTGCAAATAAGATTCGAATACTAAATTTCAATCGCACGTAGACAAAAAAATATTGGGAAATTGTATGTGTGTATTGAGGCGTGTTTGCATTGCTATGAGTGTCTCTATGCCTGTGTGTGGGTGAAGATGCACGTTCCATAACTGTGTTTAGCATTCATGGATTAAAGTTGTGCGTGCAAAAATAAAATAAAAAAAATGGAATGGCATTCCAGGCACAGGCGTAGCTAAGACGGCGGGATCGTTGGGGCAATAAGGTGGAACGCGACACTACGCAAGTAAATCTTCTCAGAAAAACACGTCACGTTTCAACACACGCAAAAGCTCAGCGCGGCACTAGAGTAGCTAGACACATACGACCTTCAAAATGCTAGAAACAAAGTATTTAATAAGAAACAGTAACAAAAAACACTGAAAACACTAACGATAATAGTGAACCCAATTAAAATTCAGGCGAAGCCATGTGCCAACTCGAGAGGAAAATAGAAAAAACGAAGTGCTCAACAGCCTCGTCAGTAACCTATTTACCTACAAAACTACTGAAAATAACCAAAAATAAAAACGAATACACGAAAGAAGGTATGCAAGCCGAAGTGTGAAAAGAAGAACTCCATATATACATACTTACATACATATGTAGTACATCATAACATATGTCGATGCATACCTGATTAGCTGGTACCTAGGGCACTTGGATCGATCATCAAAGTCGTAATCTGCTATAAAATACGAAAATATATAAATGCAATGGCTTGCATAGAATTTCGACCGCTTACAAATGTGCAAACATACACACATCTATACAAAATACACATCAGCATGAATATTAAAGTTATGTGCTTGTATGGCTACCGGTTTGTGAAGAATTATTTCAAGCATGCTAAGCTATATGTAATGGGTAGTCACACATATTCCCAAATGTAACGGTAATTTGTATGTGTATAACGACGGCTGTCGACTGGATTAACTGGGTTAAGAGCACATGCGGACTAGCAGACACATTCGCGCTCACAACAAATTTCGGTTACTATTTAAGAACTCACCGAAGCTACTGGCTGGCGTACTTTTATTTAAGCAGCATTGTAGAGGAGCCTACAAAGAGCAATACTACCTATGCACGTGAATTAATAATAAATAACCTTTTATACATACTTATGTGGATATTTTGAACAGATGTGTGTAAAATGCTGAAAATACGAGCCTCGTAAATGCCAAGAATCGAAGCTTCGGGCTTAGTTAGCCAGATTACCGGCAGCGGATAACGAGCCGGTCGGCCGGTCGATACGGTTCATCAGCAGCCGTAATTACAACGGAAATGACAGCGTTCCGAAACGATAACGGAATCGAAATTATAGTTCATTATATGTTTATACGAATAAATAATTGACAGGGGGTCAGTCAAAAAAATATTTTTTGGAAGCATGACTTCTTAGAAAAATATAATGTTATTTTCCAAATTTAGTTTTAGGTTTAATTGGTTAAATTCACTAAAATAAATAAATTCAAATATTTCTTTAAATAACTTTTGAAAAATGTTTTTTAAATATTGGATACTTATACGAAAGTCTATTACGTAATAGTACCTTTCAAGAGAAAAAATATTTATGAAAAAATACGTAATGACTTTGTGAATCAAAGAAGAATTACACTATAGATCCCTAAGTAACGCCTTTAGGTTTCACTTTCACTGTTTATATGAAACCTAAAGAACTCTATATTAGACGATATTATGCGTATTTACCTTTTTCTTTCGCCTCCAATTGGAGATTCCAAGCGAAGCCTGGTTCTTCTCCAACTGGTTTTTCCAACGGAGTGGAGGTCTTATTCTTCCTCTGCTTCTCCCAGCGGATGCTGCGTCGAATACTTTCACAGCTGGGGTGTTTTCATCCATTCGGACGACATGACCCAGATATCGTAGCCGCTGTATCTAGATTAGCTGAACTATGTTAATGTCACAGTATATATATATATGTCGACAGTAGTATTTGACATTGCCAATGCGCAAAGGGCTATAAATTTTCCGCAGAACCTTTCTCTCGACAACTTGTAACGTCGACTCATCAGATGTTATCATCGTCCACGCCTCAGCACCATATACCATATCAGGACGGGTATAATGAGTGACTTATAGAGTGCGGTTTGTTTGTCGGGAAGGGGACGACTATTTGTTTGATGAAAAGAGATGTTTCGTTTTGCACTCATTCACCACCAGACCCATTGTCTGAAACCTCGTTTGATATCGAACGGATCGGAGAGATCCTTCCCGAACCTGACGGAGCTTTTGGTATTGCTCAACGTCAACTTACACAGCCGAATTAGTATTGCGGGGATACCAAATTCAGACTTCTCGGCATAAAGGCAGCTTCTTTTTGGGGTGTCAAAAGCAGGTTTCAAATCGACGAAGGTGGTGCGTATCGATTCTCTTTTCACGGAATCTCTCTAAAATTTGGCGCATGGTTAATATCTGGTCAGTTCTTGATTTTTCAAGCCTAAAGCTACTCTGATAAGGTTCAATGAGTTTGTTGATGGTGGCTTTAATCTTTCAGACAATGCACTCGATAGAACCTTATATGCTATATTGAGGAGGCTTATCCCACGGTAGTTGGCGCAGATTGTGGGGTCTCCTCTTTTGAGGATTGGGCATAGCACACTTAAATTCCAATATTCGAACTTTTTAATGGTCGGGCAGTGGAACGTTTGTTCCATCGTTATTGATAGGATAATCGGGCTCGCAAGCTCCCAGTGTTATACTTTCATTGTCATTCAGCAGGCTGAAGAAGTGTTCCCTCCATAATTTTAGTATGCTCCGGGTATCAGTCACTAGATCACCTCTGGGCATTCTGCAGTATACTCCGGTTTCGTTTGCAGCTGTATGTTAGAAGTTTGAAATGTCTCCCAGAAATGGTTTTATATACTATTTTTATCTTTATTTTATTAAGGTGGCAATTCCTTCCTAAACATTGATTTATTTTAAGCTAATCACAATTACATTAAAATTGAACTCAAAATGTAATATTAGTAGTTAGTTTCATGCGAATTCCAAACATAGCTATTGTGCAGGTGAATCGTCAAACTTTCGGTAATGTCGTAAAATGCGAGCAACTTCCAAAAAGTCGTCTTTAAGCTTATTTACTTACTTATATATGTACATACGTATAATATTCTTGCACCTGCAGCCCTCGACCTCTGTGTGCCACTTCCATTTTGACGCAATCATAAGCGGCAAACCAACGAAGCGTCCACTCACTTGGCCAGCAGTTAAGCAAACAAGAAATCTTTAAGTTCAGATTAAAGCACGCATTCTTCGCCGTCGCTGTTTGTGGCTGCCGCATAAATTTCGAGAGCTCATTTTCATAAGCGCGAAGCTGCCATTATCCGCTGTGGTTACACGTGTGTGCGTGAGTGTGTATGTATTGCTGTTTGCGGGCAGCTGACAGAGCGCGCATCTTTATGTGATTTGTTTCGAATTTGGGTCACAATCACAATTGGCTTAGCTGTTTGTTGTTGTTGCAGTCGTGGCTGTTTTGTTTTTGTATTGAAAACAGCATTTTATTTTTCTTATTTTCGATGTTTTTATTACTGTTATGCCACTACCGGTGCTGCCGCTGCCGGCTGTTGATGGCGTTGTTGCTGTTGTACCGGTGTTGTTTTTCGTGCTGTAACTGCCACTTGGCTAATTCAAGATTAATGATTCTTGGTCAGCAGTGAGCACCTCTGGGCAGTACATGTAGTTAGTTATTGTTGTTGTTGTTTTCGCATGCTGTGGCATTTGCCGTTTTAACCGTTCACACAAGGTTAATGAAAATAACTGTACAGTCAAATAAAGGTACATGCATACCCCCGTCGTATTTACATATACATATGTATATGTTAGCATTCGTTTATGGCTTTGTATGCTTGTATATACATTAGCAAAATTGAAATATAATATGTACATATCTATGTACTTATTTGCATGCACACTCGACCGGATTCGCATTTAGATTGGGGTTAAATGAATTTTCAATTGCATTGTATAGTATGTATTGTATACACGGGAGACAAGGCCTCTTTACGACTTATACATATGTATATAAATATATATACATTACTTGTCATGATTTATTTATCTCCTACAATATTTATCTGCATTTAATTTTGCAGGAATAAGATCTACTTATAGCCGACTGTGCGTACATATACTTCTATACTATGTACAAGTATATACAAGGATTATTGTAACTGAGTAGAGTAAACACCTAAAACATAAATAAGAGCTCTGTATTATTCATATACTTTTGAAAAATATACATATCGTCACCTAAAAAGCTAAACTACGTATCATCTAAATATTATGCATAAAATTTTAAGCTTTCGCTATCAAATATGTGCAATATGTAACCATTTTATAATGAAAAAGTAAATTTTCTTTCAAAGTCTGTGATTTCTATTTATGGTTTTTCCATCGCCTGTAAACTTACGAAGAGTGATGTTACGTTATTTTGAATTGTAGGCGACAATATATATTTTATAAGGTCTCCGACGTACCCCTTTAAAAATAACAACCCCGTTCAGGGTATAAAGAACAGTAGGTGGCGAAAGATTACTACTAGACGTCACAAAAGAATAAACAAAAACACATAAATATAATTGTTTCAAAAGAGAACAATAACTGGTATAAAGTTTCATAAACATTGGTCATGCTCATTGAATAACCAGCTGGCAAAGAAAATTATATAATACGAGTTGACAAAGGCTTGAGAAACTTAGCGCTTGCAGATTATAACTAATAAAATTCTTTTAAAATTTTTCTGCTTCTTACAAATTCGATTCTTTTATAGCCCAAAATGTATTTAATATTGTGTTAATATATGCGGCACTATACTTTTTTTTAGAGACCTACATTCTATAGAATCATTTATATGTACATATACATATACATATGTATATAGATGTGAAAAACAATTTATTCCCGTCATCCACCAACTGTTCTGCGCTGATTTGGTTATTAGTTCACTGTTATGAATGCGAAATGTAATGTTAACGATTCTACGTAAGTTATTTAGAAATACTTCCAAGTTTCAATAATATAGGTCATGTAACAATGAAGATAGAAAAGTTTTTCTTTTTAAATTATAACAGTTAATTAAGGTTAAAGTGACATGGGGCAATTTCTTTATTTAAATTATTTGAAATGACTGCTGGTGCATAGAAGCTAGTCATACTTTTAACAGCTTTCTTTTATTAGACATTCTTTACTTTTAGAAATCTAATTTTTCACATTAATCCATAAAAATCGGTTCTCTGACATATGGACTTCAGGAAAAAGAATAGATATTATTGTAAAAGGTGATCCATTTCGAGGTTTCCTATTTTTTTTTTTAAGAAAAAACACAGAAACCTCAAATTTAGTTGTGTTTATTATAATTCGAAAGCACATTGTAGGCATTTAGTTTTTGAATGTTATCTATTTCAAAAGTTTTGTCCGCGACTATGTCTGAGATGGTCCATCCGTTGAGTCCAATTATCGAAGCTGGATTGCCCGCATAGAGTTTAGGCTTTACATACCCATACATAAAAAAATGTAACGGCGTGATAACACACGATCTTGGTGGCAAATTGACCCGCTGAAACCTGAAAATATCTGCTTACGGAAGTTACTAACTACTAAAATAACACTAACTTCATTAACTGATGTGATGCATGGGAATTGGCGCCGTCTTATTGAAATCAGATGTCGCCGAGATCACAAGCTTGAATTTCAGGCATGCTATAGTCAATTATCATGACACGATACTGGTGGCCACTGATGGTTACATTTTCACCTGCATCATTTTTGAAAAAACATGGACCGATGTTTCGGCCCACAAACCTCACCAAACGGTTTGTTTTTTGGTTTTTGTGAATGAAATGGCAGCTGTTGAATCTCTTCAGGTCGCTCTTTGTCCCAAATGCGGCAATTTTGCTTTTTTATATTTGACTCGAAACGTTGAATCGTCTTGGAGCTTTTCATAGAGCGAAGCAAATTCTTTACTGAACGCAAATTTTCATAATAAAATTGAACGATTTGTATTTTTCCATGATGAATTGCCAAAGAATATTGATCAAAAATAACATGACAACTTGACACGGCTCATGTCAAAAAAGGCTAGTGAAAAAATGCTTCTGCTTGGATCACTCGTTATAACCTATTATGTATAAAAAGTGTGATCGCATATCTTATTCTTTAAATTTATAACTCATCGTTGTAGCTCGAAACGAAAACGAGTTAGTACACTTATTGAATTGAAATACTCATTTTTTTTAAGACTGAACACAATAAAATTAGCATATCGCAGAAAATGCACATGAATATTTCAATATTTCCTACCAACCTCATCTATCTTTCTTCTTCGAAAACGCCTTTGCATCCTGTACAATACTTTCACATATGATTTGAAGTACAAAAACCAAATAATATAATTATTTTACTTACCAACATCACGTTCGGCTCTCCAATCATTTGCTTGCAGGCGAAATTCGCTCATCGATTGCACCGCGCAAGCCAGAGCGTACGGCCAGCATGCGGGAGCGTGAAGCACAATTGGAATTGGCACGTAAACGACATGCCGGGACGCGCAATGAAAACGCTGATACTATCTCGATTTGCTCGTCAAATGGCGATAATGTATCGTACGAAAATAACAGCAACAACAACCATGCATACACTTCAACCAATCCCAATGGTGCAACCGCCACCAACACTAACAACAACAACAACAAGCGAAACACAAACGCAAACAACTCCACACAAGCAATGAGTCCACAACTTTCGCTAGCCGACAGAGCTGTCACACCCACAACAACAACAATCGCAGCGGGTGATGGCAAACCACCGATCGGCAGCCGTACGAGTACTTTCGAGCGTCGAAAAAGCGACCCAAAAATTGCAATCGCCAATAAATTGGAAATTTTCGAAAATCGCACGGCTGGCAACACCAGCACCAGCAGCGCTTCGTCCGCCGTCAGCCACAATGAAGTGCGTCCGACCAGTTTGAAGGATTCGGTGCGTAAAATTAACAGCACGATTGACAGTTACTTGAAGGACAAACGCGATTATGAGAATATGTATGAAATGGTGAAGAGTCCCTCGTCGCCACCGCTGCCGCCGACACGTTCCGTGGATTTGACTGGTGGCCAGCGCGTGCTGCCGCCACGTCGTAACAATAACAACAACAATATCTATTCGGACACCATGTCGGTGGCGAGTTACACGCGCAGCGAGTATGGACCGGGACGCAATTACGGATTGAACAATAGTTTAGGTGAGTTGTAGGATCTTGGTATGTTGTTTGTTTTTATTAAACTGTCATTTTTACATTGCTTTTTTCCTAAAGCCAACATTCCACGCATTATTTCCGCTTCCTATTGTGGCAGTGAAGCCGGCGAATTCGAGATTTATGCGCCGTACAGTTATTACGGCAGCGAGGCTGGCGGTGATGTAGCTACAGACATCAATGACAGCGTATGGGGCATACCATCGGTAAGTGGACTCTAATTTTTCGGGCATGTGAATTTTTACAAAATGGGTTTTTGGGGTAGTCCGAATTGATTCTTAATGGTTCTTCCTTGAAGTTTTAAGAAAGGGTTCAATCGAACAAGTTTCTGAAAAATATATGATCTCCGCTTATCCGCAGGAGCCTGTAGACATTTCTTTTCTGATATTCTGATACTTACACTGCAATTCTTCTTTAAGGCCATCAAAAATCGTGCAAAGGCTACAAATCGTTTGCGAATGCGCAAAGGACGCAGCGTCGTGCACAAAACCATAGAGGACAACTACACCGCAGTAGTTGTGGCCAACCATGAGGCTTTGGCGCAGGTGCTTGATCAGGTGAGTAACTATCCTGTCAAACTTTACGCTCATTCCTCACACAAACCCTTAAATTTATCGCCATCCCACCGGTTTAGCTCCAGCAAACACCTGTCATACCGGCTGCGCTCCGACCTCTAGCCAATGCCATTAATTTACGGTTCGAAGATTTCACCATACTGGATGGTGCACAAGCATTTGTTGTCGGCAAGAAAGCATTCCATGCGGCGCTGTGGACCACAGCACCCGTCACATTGGCGCTCTCGGCCGACTGCAACCAACTCTCCGGTGTGGGTGGCGAATTGAGTCAGCTGTCGGGTGGCGTTAGCGGTGTACTCAATCCCATAACGGAATTTTGCGACGTAGTGCCCAGCTATCACTTGCCCCTCATGCCCTCAACGGCAGTGACTTTGCTGCAGGCCACAATATCGGTGCTGCCACGCTTGCAATTGGACACGCTGCAGTCGATCGGCGCCATATTAAAGGGAAAATCACATGTGCTCGACAAGAGTAATTTCAATTTCCGCGGCTCCATACCGAACTTGGCCGCTACCGGCCTAAAGGACAGCGCTGGCGTGAATGCGCTGCGCAATGTGATGTCCGTGCAGAATTTGAGCACACTCAACGAGGAGTCTTCACTCGATAAGTGCGGTGGTGCGTCGCTGGAGTCGGCGTCAGATAATACAGCCACAGCGGCGGGCATGCCGGCATTTGACGATGTCATGACACGTGAAGTGGCTTTCATAATGCTGCAATTGGTGAACGGCATGAAGAATTTGCAAGCGAAGGCGATCGAAGAGATGCCGCTGAGCTTGTCCAATGTAGTGCTGTCGAAGGATGTAGAGAACAAGGATGCGCAGGCACGTCTCTGCGTGTTGCAAGGGTGAGTGCAGTTGGAGAACTTGCCAAAACTCGTAAAAATAGAAATTATTTTACATTCTCTTTCACATATTTTCAGCAACAATAATGATGAGGACGAAACCATGGGCACACTGTGCAAATGCGCACACATCGCGCTCACCGAACTGTTGCCGTCCACCAAGATCACACCCATCCTAGCCGACATACTCTTGCAAGAACGCGCCGAATCTTTATCAAAATCGAAATCCGTCTTGGAATTTGTGCTCTGGGGTCCATCCGATGTTGTGCTCTCTGGCTCCACGAAAGAGCGCGAACTGGCGCTGCAGCGTTGGTTGGATTTGGAGCGCGCCACCGTCTTGCATGGTTTAGTGCGCACGCGTGTCGAGCTCACCGTCTACGATGAGTGTCATTTGATGTTCTTGGTTCGTTCAACGGCGAAAATGATGAACGATGCGGCGAAAATTGTCTGCAGCTATCAAAAACCGACGACGGAACTGTCGCAGTCGCAGCAGCGCCAACAAGTGGAATAGTGTTGCGAAAGATGCGTATGTAAATACATATATAATTTTTTAGCTGAAGTGGTTGTTGTAATGTGAATTAGTTTAAAAAAATTTAGATTTAAGCAAAATATTTCACGTAAAATGTGTATGAAAATAGAACTACAAAAACTCTAAATTCTTTATACGAGTCGAAGAATGTGTATGAAAATCGAACAAAAAAAATTCGAAATTATTATTTAAATCGCAGTTCGAAAATGTTTATATACATGTGTATAAACATATATGTGCATGCAACAATGTTAAAATATGTTTGCAACATTTTGTTGTAAACTTTTCGTCAACATTTATACTTAAACTAAGTGTGCCTGTGCAAAAAACTTTTGAATTTTTACTGAATTTCAAGTCTCGATATTTTTTTCAAATAATTGTTTTCCTCAACATAATTAGTAAAAAATATAGGTAAATAGGAATTTCGTTAACTTTTTTGAAATAGCATCAGTTCTAATTATTTCTTTGTCGTTTTTTTTTTTAATTTTAAAATTTCAAAAAATTAAAAAAAGATTAAAGTTTGCTCTTAAGCTCTTATCGAGTATAAATTTATATAAAATATTAACAAAACTGAGAACAAATTTTCTTACTTTAACGATTTTAAATAATATTTCCTATTCTGCTCATCCCTTCTTAAATTCTTCAAAAAATACACATATAAACAAAAGTCTACCAGTAACTTAATTCTTTTAGAAAATAAAATTTGTTGTTGTATATGTACATACACATACATACATTCGCTTCACTGCAAAAACAACGAAAAAACATATTTAGAAGTTTTTCGCTTATCTAAAGTGCCAAATTTATTAAAATATTGTGAAAAGAATGAAATGCAAAAAAACATAAGTAAATATTGTAAAAAATCAAAGAAAAAATTCGAAAGCAAAATTATTTAATATGTGCTCTCTACTTTCCAAGCCGTAATGTTATCTTAACAATTCAATATAATAAAAGTGATCGCAGCAGGCAACTTTATATGAAAACAACATAAAACGATATACGAAAATTTTCATCACGCAAACTTATCTACCTTATTTATTCAAATTTATTAGAAAAAATATGTTAAAATTGTAAAAACAAATTTATAAAAAATACCAATAATGAAGAAAACATGATTAAACGCACAATTTTTGTGAGAAGAGAAAATATATTTAAGCTTATTTTGTGTACATTTTTTCTAACATATATTTTTTCTCGTTTATTATTTGAAAATTTTATTATTTTCTATTCGTAAACTTATAAAATTTGTTTAATTTTTGTTCTATTCGGAAAGTGTATACCTATTCATGAACGTGTTAAGCGAACAAATAAATAACAATAAAAAAATACAAACATACTTAAATATATTATACATAAACAAATTGTAATTGATAAAAACCTTTTGTATCGTTAAATTTTCGTATGCAATAAGTTGGTGTTTGAAATATCATACATTTAAATTTATATAAATCTATATATGTATATGTTATTATAAATATTAAATATATTGTATAACAGTTTACTGAATAAATGAATATTTATGAATTTGATATAAAAAGTAAAAATTATTGCTGTTTTATTTTTGATTGAGAACAGAATGAGAACTAAAGCAGAGAATGTATAAACATATAAACAATGTTTATACAAAGAACGTAAAGTTACGTCAGAGAACGTCTATACCAGAGAACGTTTAAATTATAATTATAACATAATTTGTAAATTATAATTATAAATTATAATTATAACATAATTTGTAAATTATAATTATAAACGTTCTCTGTCTATACTTTACGTTCTCTGGTTGAGTAAGTTAGTAATCACATACACCCGCTGCCTAAAAGTATGCAGCACTAGCAGCGACAAAGTGTTTTCGCCATTTCTAAATAGCTCATTCTCCATGTGCCGCAAACGCAGCAACTGCCTGATATTCTGGCTGTTCTGCGCGCCTGGTAGAAAAGCCGGTGTTGAGCAAAATGACGAAGCCACGAGCTTCGCCAACACACACACATTCGCACCATACACGCGGAAAAATTATGTTATGGACTATTTTTATTACGTTTGATTTTTTTGTTGTTAAAAAATACAAAGTTATTTAAAATCTTCTTCATTTAAAAATATTTATTTATTTTTTGTTTAAAAAATTGTATATTTAAATTAAGTTAGTTACATTATATTTTATAAATATTTTATTAATACCTGCTTTAAGCGAATTTTATATGAATGTATGAAAGATATAGAAAACAAAAATTTATTATAACTAATATTATCATTTTTATACTCTAGCAACATGTTACTCTAGAGTATAATAGTTTTGTTTACCTAACGGATGTATTATCCGCTAAAACTAAACGAGATACATATGTATTAAGATATAGAGTTGTATATACCATATATTATATAAATGATCAGAACGGCGAGACGAGTTGAAAGCAGGGTGGCTGTCTGACTACAATAACCACATTCGATTACGGCAATTCTCATAAGAATTATTACCGACAGTGTGAAAAGAGATGAAATCAGATATTAAGCATATAACGGTACTGTTAAAAACGTGATAAAAAAAATAAATAAAAACCCCAGAAACATGCGGCTTGTCTTTGAAGTATGCCTAGTTGTCGTATATGGGGACCCCAGTATCTATAGATGACTTTTGACCGAAAAAATCGACCATTCTGAGAGATATATAATTGATATTTGGAGAGAATTCTGTGTATCAACAACGAATTTGAATCAGTCAATACTTCTCTTAGCCCCCAAATACCTAAAATAAAGATTTTCGAACATCCAGATGATTTCATACCACATATATGTGGCCAATGTGTGTGTTATCTTAACTGAGAGAGCATGTTTTTCTTATAACGGTGCATCTTGCCCTAGACTCCTTATAATTAACAAGCCTTATGTACCTAAAGGTGTTAACCAAGCTTTGATGCTTTCAACTTGCAAGAATATGGAATGTTCGGTTATGCCCAAAATTACCCATTCTTAACTTTTTATTATTTACTACTTTGTATGTTTTCCTGGTCTTGTAACCAACTACTGTCATTCCTAACTTATTAAATATAGATATGAAATTTTATAAATATAATTTTTAATGCTTTTACTTCAGTTATTTTGTATATATGTATCTAAGATTTGAACAAAATATATGGCATTAAAAAAGTAAAAAAAAGTAAATACATATATACATACATCTAAGTGGTTGATATTAAAGTATTGAAACTTATTTTACAATTTTTGAAAATTTTTAAAATCTAGTTACAGTTTTATAATTTATCGGATATTTTTTCGTCAATATTTAGTATTTTTGCACTCTCAAATGAGAAAGTTTGTATACTGTATTCCAACCACCATAACTTCAATTTTCTAAATTTTATCAACAACAAATATTAACCTCGATTCTTATGTTTAAGTATGTATACATCTGAAAACTTACCATGACTCCAATATTTAAACAACGTAGTATTTTTTTTTTATTTTGTTTTATTTAGTAGAGAAGCGAGTTTCAATATAATCTTATTTATTTATGTATGTACATACGTGTTTTAAGACCATTTTCTAACTACGTTTATTTTGACGTTCCTCGATATTATGTACAAAAATTTCCAAAAAAGATAGCTCTTTCCATTCTTAAATGTTCCGAAAATACTCAATTATTCTTAAATAATCTGATAATACTTACTTGAAGCCCAAAATTTGATATGTGCCCTTGATACTGAGATTTAATGTTTGAGAACCCACTGAACTCGATAGCATTCATCAACATTCTAAATTTAAAAGTCTGTTATCCATGTAAATAGTTTTGTGTTTTTTGAAAACCTCTTGAATACTTTTGTTTTTGAAAATCTTTTGAATATGTATATATTAAATTTAAAATAATATTTTCCATCGTTAGCAATAGAGATCTAAGGTGTGAGGTTAGAACTTATTTCGTAGAGTAAACAAAATTATTCAAAATATAGTTAGAAAATAGCTAAGGAATTGTTCTCAAAATAAGCCTAACATATATAAAATAACTAAATTTGATATGTTGACTTAAGAATCGTTAAAACTATTCACCACTGTAGATAATGAAGACTAAAAATTATTGTAAATCCAGGTCAAAGATAAGATTTGTGAAAAGTCAAAGCGCTGGGTCGCTTCCTTGCATCACTCTGTTATGAATTACCATAAAACTGGGATATCAAACATTACACATTAGCTACGTTTTGAATAGATTTGGACCAAATTTTAGATGAATTGTAAACCAAAGAGCAAAGATAGCAATCGACAATTATTTATAGCAGTAATTGACTTTATCCCGGAAGAAATTGTGCGTTTCGCAGGCGTAGAACAACATTATTTCAGAAAAATGTAATGATTCTAGTTCTTTTCGGTTCGCCCTGGTACGTCTGTGTTCCTTTTTAATTCGTTCACGCCTGTATCATAAAAATTTATATATACTTTCTTTTTTTACTTTCGAAAGAGCGCGAAGAACGATGTTTTGCCGATTATCGTTAAATTAAGAAGCTGGAACGTTTATATTTAAATTTTGTAAGAAAGCAAAGACTTGGAAAAAGCTCCAACAGGAATTGCAATCAGTTTGCATTCGTTTGGAGCAGCAACCGGACACAGACGTAAAAACTTCAATAATGTTCGTAGGGCGAAGAGGCGAGTGGATAACAATATTCAAGAATAACAGTGCGCCAAAGCACAACACGGCTGTAAAACGGCTGCTGAGCAAACAACCGGTAACTATTCAAAGAGAAAAAAAAAATTAAAAAAAAAAATAAATAATTTCGTTTGTGCTACTGCGGTTATTCATGGCAGAGTCTTTAGCAGCAGTAGTAATTTATTGATAAAGTTTAAGTGCATATTAGATATTACAGTGATTTCGATAGGGCGGATAGATAGAGTCGTCCATTCGTTCCCAAGTCTTTGCTACTTCATTCAATAATATCGGCTTCTTTATGCCGTTGCTACATAAATATCACGTTTACTAAAAAAATTAAATTTATTTCATTGGCGAAAGGTGTGCCGAAAGGTATACTATATTAACAAGTAAATATAGAAATATATATACTCGTATTTATAAGATCTGCTAGCTGCAAGAGTACATGAGCACTTTATTTTGCCTTTATTTATGGTGAGCAAATTTGGATAACCACCAAAGAAGAAACAAAAATAAAATAAAATATCGCAAAAAATATGCGATAAATTCAATATTTTATTGCAGTCATGTTTTGGGCTACAAACAGCCACCACAACAAAGGCGAATAATCAAACAGCACTTAACAATGAGAGTAAGGAGTCACACCCCGAATGGCAAGAGGCGCGTCCTTTCAATGAAATTCACCGTGTGAACCCTTACACACTTTTCTTTAAATTTTTGCCCGGCGGTCGATATTACAACCTGGATGCCACA